AGTGGGAGTGGTGGGCTCTCGTTGGGAAAACATCGGTCCTCCTCTCGAACACCGGCTCCGTGCGTTGAGGCCCTGCTTCATGGACGTGGTCAAGCACCGCTCATTTGTGGGAAGTAGAGAGTAATTTCTGTCCTCTGTACTTCCACACAGCCTCTACTTGTTTTGCTTTCTTGAGTTGTTTTGTGTTCCCCCCGCCACCCTTTTCCCAACCCTTTTCCCCTTTCCTTTTTTTCCCTTTACTTAAAATGTTTTAGTAATAATAATAATATTTCCTTAATAATCATTTTTCCTTTTAATTTAATTATCTGTATATCAACCTGCAAGTTGTTCTTTCCTTTACTTCTTTCCCTCCTCTTCTAACAAGGGGGAGTGAGAGAGTGGTTGTGGTGGAGTTCAGCTGCCCAGCACGGCAATACCAGCTCACAGCCCCTGCTCGCTGCCATGTCCCCAGCGCTGTGGAGGCCCCCCTGGGTGAGGGCTCACCCCCTGCATGGAGCTGGGTAGCCCTGCGGTGCAGAGCAGGGCACTGGCTCTGAGCTGCCCTGGCTTTGCACTTTTATCCGCTCTGTCCCTGCAGACAAATGGCAGGGGATGTTCTCCGGGTGTCTTCTGGGCACGGAGCTGCTCCTTCTGCTCCTCAGCAGCTTGGGAAGATGAGGACAGGGAGCTGCCAGGGACAAGGTGAACCCAGACACCACTGGGCCACTTCAACACAAAGCCAGGGCCACCTCTCCTCCCTGTGGGGCTGCCACTGCCCCCGGCCCCTCCGGGCACTGTCGCCACCAGTCCCGCAGCCGGCCCTAGGCCCGGCGCCGGCGGCAGCGCCGTGTTGTGGGCTGATCCCCGCAGGGCTGTTCTCTCGGGCACGCTGCGCTTGGCTCTGCCGTTCCCTCAAGCCTTCGGGCCTCGCACTGGGCACCAGAAGGCCTGCTGTGCTTGAAGCTACAGGCAGCTCAGCACCGCACAGCCGCTCGCTCCCCTCCTCCCCAGCAGGGCTGGGGAGAGAAGGGACACTTGGATCTGGCTGCAGGAGCTGGCACTGAGCTCACTCGCACACACAGAGGCTGAACAAGCCCAGCTCCCTCAGCCACTCCTCATAGGACTTGTTCTCCAGGCCCCTCACCAGCTTCGTCGCCCTTCTCTGGACCCGCTCAAGCACCTCGATGTCCTTCTTGTAGCGAGGGGCCCAAAACTGAACACAGTACTTGAGGTGCGGCCTCACCAGAGCCGAGTACAGGGGGACGATCACCTCCCTAGCCCTGCTGGTCACACTGTTTCTGATACAAGCCAGGATGCCGTTGGCCTTCTTGGCCACCTGAGCACACAGCTGGCTCATATTCAGCCGACTATCCACCAATATTCCCAGGTATTTCTCTGCCTGGCAGCTTTCCGACCACTCATCTCCCAGCCTGTAGCTCTGCTTGGGGTTGTTGTGCCCCAGGTGCAGGACCCGGCACTTGGCCTTGTTGAACTTCATGCAGTTGGCCTCAGCCCATCGGTGCAGCCTATCCAGATCCTCCTGCAGAGCCTTCCTACCCTCGAGCAGATCGACACACACACCTAACTTGGTGTCATCTGCAAACTTACTGAGGGTGCACTCAATGCCCTCGTCAAGATCATTGATGAAGATATTAAAGAGGACCGGCCCCAGCACCGAGCCCTGGGGGACGCCACTAGTGACCGGCCTCCAACTGGATTTGACTCCATTCACCACAACACTTTGGGACCGGCTATCCAGCCAATTTTTAACCCAACGAAGCGTACACCAGTCAAAGCCATGAGCAGCCAGTTTCTTGAGGAGAAAGTTGTGCGAAACCATGTTAAAAGCCTTGCTGAAGTCAAGGTAGACCACATCCACAGCCTTTCCCTCATCCACCAAGCACGTCACTTTGTCATAGAAGGAGATCAGGTTCGTCAAGCAGGACCTGCCTTTCATTACCCCATGCTGACTGGGCCTGATCGCCTGCTTGCCCTGCAAGTGCCGCATGATGACTCTCAAGAGGATCTGCTCCATGAGCTTCCCTGGTACTGAGGTCAAACTGACAGGCCTGTAGTTTCCTGGGTCTGCCCTCCGGCCCTTCTTGTAGATGGGCGTCACGTTTGCTAGCTGCCAGTCAACTGGGACCTCCCCCGATAACCAGGACTGCTGATAAATGGTGGAAAGCGGCTTGGCCAGCTCCTCCGCCAGTTCTCTCAAAGAAGAGGATCTTTCGCATGTTGGTGTGGAACTGACTGGGCTCCATTTTGTGACCACTGCCCCTTGTCCTGTCCCCACAGACCAGTGGAAAGAGGTTGGCCAAATCCCTCTGTCTCCCACCTGAGGAGGTATTTATACACATTGAGAACATCCCCTCTCAGTCCTCTCTTTTCCAGGCTGAACAGCCCCAGGTCTCTCAGCCTCTCCTCACAGGGAAGGTGCTCCAGGCCCCGTATCATCTTTGTGGCCCTCCACTGGACTCTTTCCAGGAGATCCCAGTCTTTCTTGTACCAGGGAGCCCAGAACTGGACCCAGTGCTCCAGGTGAGGCCTGACCAGGGCAGAGCAGAGGGGGAGGATCACCTCCCTCGACCTGCTGGCCACGCTCATTTTAATGCCGACCAGGATCCCCTTGGCCCTCTTGGCCACCAGGGCACACTGCTGCCTCATGGCCAACCTGTCACCCACCAGGACCCCCAGGTTCTTCTCCTCAGAGCTCCTCTCCAGAAGGTCATCCCCCAGCCTGTACTGATACCTGCGGAGATGTGAGTTGCTAGGACAAACAATCACAAAGGGGTTTTGTCTGATAAAACTGCTGCTGCAGTTTCCAGCAGCAGTCCCCCAGACACAGAAACGAAATTTATGAATGTCAATGCTTTCATTTATGAAAATAAATAACATAATTTTCATTTATAAAAATAAATGTGTTTTCATTTATGAAAACATTGACAAAAACTGGCCCCAAAACAGAGCCCCAGGGAACCCCACAAGTAACTGGCCGTCAGCCTGATGTAACCCCATTTACTAGCACCCTTGGAGCCTGACCCACCAGCCAGTTGTTCACCCAGCACATTAGGAACCTGTCTAGCTGTGTGCTGCACATTTAGTCCTGAGGGATACTTTGAGAAACCGTATCAAACGCTTTGCCGAAATACAAAAAGATTTCATCAGCTGCCATCCCTTGGTCAACTATGTGGGTAACTTTGTCATGAAAGGAAATTAAGTTCATTAAGCGGGGCCTTCCCCTCATGAACCCTCTGCTTGCTGTGACCAGGGACTGCCTTGTCCCTCAGGTGCTTTTCAATAACTCCTGGGATAATTTTCTCCATGATTTTACCAGGCACTGAAATGAGACTGACAGGTCTGTCGTTACCAGGGTCTTCTTTCTCGCTCTTGCTGAAAACTGGAACCACATTTGCCATCTCCCAATAGACCGGGATCTCTCTGGATTCCCAAGACCATTGGAAAGTAATTGAGAGAGGTTTTTCCTCCCAGACAACAGATATGTGTATTGGGGCCCTGCTTCCCAAGATGTGGCTGACCTTGCTTGCTGATGGGCAGTAGAGAGTAAGTGCTTTCTCTTTGCTTCCGTGTGGATTGGCTTTTCTTTTTCTTTTTCTTTTTCTTTTTCTTTTTCTTTTTCTTTTTCTTTTTCTTTTTCTTTTTCTTTTTCTTTTTCTTTTTCTTTTTCTTTTTCTTTTTCTTTTTCTTTCTCTTTTTCTTTTCTTTTTCTTTTTCTTTTTCTTTTTCTTTTTCTTTTTCTTTTTCTTTTTCTTTTTCTTTTTCTTTTTCTTTTTCTTTTTCTTTTTCTTTTGCATTTCAATTTTCCTTCTCTCAACCCCTTAGCCTTTTTCTTTGTGTCATCCTTTCTGCCTCCCCTCTGTCTCTGAGGAGCAATGAGAGAGCAGTTGTGGTTTTTAGTTAGACATCGATGTGAAACCACGGCAGCCTTTTGGCATCCATTGAGAGGCTCAGGGGGTGGAGATAACAAGAAATTTGACCAGAGTGCTTCAGAGGAGCTTACAATGATCATATTTGTCGAACATATTTGTTGATTTGCTGCCCACAATCTTGTCTGGTTTGCTCTTAATATCTTTCAGTGTGATCCTGCGTGATCCTGTGCCGTGTTCTCTCTTTTGCTATTTATCATATCCGAGGCCTTGTTAAAAGCTGTGTGCATTTGTGTTTTTTTTTTCAGTTTGCTGTTCTGTGAATCTGTATTGGCAAGGTCTTGATAGAGGGGGGCTGCTGAGGTGGCCTCTGTGAGAAGGTCAGTGCAGCAGGAGGGCAGGAGGTGCTCCAGGCACGCAGCACAAGTTCCCCTGCGGCCTGTGGAGAGGCCCCTGGTGGAGCAGGCTGTCCCCCTGCACCCATGGGTCCCCCACGGAGCAGATCTCCACGCTGCAGCCCCCCCATGGGTGGAGGATCCCCCAGTGGAGCAGGTGGATGGGGTCTGGGGGGAGCTGCCACCCACCCGTGGGGGCCCCGTGCCGGAGCAGGAGCAGGCCCCGGGCCGGAGCTGCAGCCCGTGGAGAGGAGCCCACATGGAGCAGGGGGCTGGGCGGAGCTGCCAGGGGCTAGGTCACCCCAGACACCGTTGGGCCACTTCTACACAAAGCCAGGGCCACCTCTCCTCCCTGTGGGGCTGCCACTGCCCCCGGCCCCTCCGGGCACTGTTTCCACCAGTTCCGCAGCCGGCCCTAGGCCCGGCGCCGGCGGCAGCGCCGTGTTGTGGGCTGATCCCCGCAGGGCTGTTCTCTCGGGCACGCTGCGCTTGGCTCTGCCGTTCCCTCAAGCCTTCGGGCCTCGCACTGGGCACCAGAAGGCCTGCTGTGCTTGAAGCTACAGGCAGCTCAGCACCGCACAGCCGCTCGCTCCCCTCCTCCCCAGCAGGGCTGGGGAGAGAAGGGACACTTGGATCTGGCTGCAGGAGCTGGCACTGAGCTCACTCGCACACACAGAGGCCTCGCCAGGAGCTGGCACGTAGGCCTCTCAGCACGCGGACACATGGGAAAGGCTGCGAGTGTGCAAAGAGAAAAGCTTTAATGCGAGAAATGCGACGATAGGACACACAAACACTGACCGGCCCTTTTATACCCCAAACCTAACCCCTCAGCAGGCCCTCCTGCTCCTCCTTCTCTACACACCCCCATGCCTCCACACAGCAGCTCCACGTTATTTCAAGCTCCCCAGGCTCCCCAAGCTCCCCAAGCTCCTCACCTCCCTGAGCTCCCCACACGGAGGTGTTGCCTTCACCACGAGGCTCCCCTTCCCCTCACAGAGCCAGTGGCACGGGGCCCCCGTTCCTCTGCAGCCATGGCTGGAGGAGCACGGGGAGCATGGCGGCGCCTGCCCAGGGCTGTGCCCTGTCCCCAGACATCTCCCGGGGGCACTCACCCTGCTGCCTGCCCTTACCCTTCAGCAGCGCACAGTTGTAGGTGCTGTGCGTGGTATGGGAGCGGAGATGGATGATGCTTCTGCTGAAGTAACTCATGACATTGGTGACCTTGAAGACCTCATAGGGTGGGATGAGGATTTCATCCTCAGTAGGGTAAAAGGAGAAATGCTTGATGGGGACACCGTAGCAGGTGTACACAATGAAGAAGGTGTCCTGGCCAAATTTCTGGGCAGCATTCTTCTGGAGGGAGGCAGAGGCGAACTGGCCGAAGCGGACGGTCTGGTGGCGGTGGGCCGTAAAGTGGATGCCCTTGACGCCACGGTAGACGTTGTAGCATCTGTGGCCCTGGGCATTCCGCAGAGTGTGCAGGGCCTCGGTCAGGAGGAAATGCATTGTCTTGAAGGGGAAGGATTGGAGGTAGTACCCGCGGGAGCGCCCACCCTCGCGCACAGCTGCGTTGAACTGGCTGTAGAGGCCTGTATTAGCAGTGTACGCCAGCACGGCCACCGCGTATTCCCTCCGCAGCACCTGCGGGTGGATGGAGTTGCCCCATTGCTTCCGCCACCTCTCGTCTGCTCTTCTCCAGGTGTCTGCATAAATGTGGTTTTTGAATTCCGCGTGGTGCAGTTTCTTCAGCGCAACCTCCATCTTGTATCTGCAACCCCGGTACTGGTCATCGAAGGAGTTCTGGGCCATGCCCATTGCCAACTTCTTTATGGGGCTGAGGTCTTGCTCACGGGTGCTTCTGGCGGCCAAGGTGCCAGCCAAGGTGCCGGCCAGCAGCACCCAGCCCAGGCCGAGGTGCTCCATGTGCAGGAAGCTCCGGGGGTCCAGCCACGAGCGGGGATGCCCCAGGCAGCGCAGGACCCGGTCCTCTGCAACCGGCTGAGCTCAGCCGCTGAGTGCAGCAGTACAGGGCACGGGCGTCTGCTAGGGGGAGAGCGCAGGGTCGGAGAAGGCTGCAGGGAGAAGCCGAGCAGATGCATCAGGGGCACCTCCAAAGCCGCCCATGGCCCCCCTGGCACCAGAGGGAAGCACCCGCAGTGTGTGTCCCCAGCCACGGCCACCTGAGTCTTCCCCACCCCGATACCGGCCCGGACTCCAGCCCAACTACTTGCATCAAACACCGCAGACTCCTGGGTTCCCCCGTGCAGCCCCGACATCCTCTGAGGCCGCAGCATTTGTGCCAGGAGGAGCCCTGGTGCTGCAGTGAGATGTTACCTCTGCTCTGTTGCATGCAGGACCCACGGCTCGGCGCTGCTGCAGGGTGCGTGGAGCTGGCTGCTCTGCCTTTTTATAGCAACCCCCAGACAGTTTGTGTTCCAGCCCCCCATGACCACCCAGTTGCTGCTGGGCTGTTGCAAAAGGCTGCAGGGAAACCAACAGGAAATCGCCTCTTATCAGTTGCCCATGCTCTAGGGCGTGCCTTTGTGGGTCCCAGTCCCTTGGGTGCTGAGAGGTGAGGCGCAGGCTCTGCAGCCCTCAGTGCAGAGGGGCTCCTGCAGGAGCGGACACTGGCTTGTCCTGGTTTTGTCTGGGATCGAGTTGCTTTTCATCACCGTAGCTGGTGTGGGGCTTTGGTTTTAGGATGAGAATGGTGCTGATAACACACTGCTGGCTTAGATGCTGCTGAGCAGTGTTGACACTAAGCCAAGGACTTCTGTGCTGCTCACACTGCCCTGGCAGCGGGCAGGCTGGGGGTGCAGCAGGAGCTGGGAGGGGAAAGGCCCAGGACAGCTGACCCCAACTGGCCAAAAGGATATTCAACACCATATGGGGTTATGCAAAAATATATAGGGGTAGCGCCCCCCCCACCGCCAATTCTCTCCCCCATCCCACTTGAGGAAAAAGCTGCTTGCCGGTTAAACCACAGCAGTCCTTTGATGTCCAGCATGGGGCCCAAAGGGTTGAGATAAGGACAGATCTGACCACAGCGTGTTAAAACAAAATTGTTGTTTAACAATTGTAATTTGTATACCTTAGCTTCTCCCATGGCTTGCTTAGAATGCAGAGGAACTCCCACTCGGACTGGGGAGGAGGAAGAAGACGAGGCAGGCTGCTCCAGAGTGGCGGGGCCATCAGAGGAACAGGAAGATGAAGAGGAAGGTATCATGAGAGCATCAGGAACTAACCGATGCCTATTCCAGCATGAGCTATGAGATAGGCGAAAAGATTTCAGTCATTGTCCAGGTGAGCACCTTGTCACCTGGCTGCTCTGGTGCTGGGACAACGGAGCCACCTCCCTTGACCTGCTGGCCATGCTCCTTTTAATTCCCGCCAGGATCTTGTTGGCCCTCTTGGACAGCAAGGCACACTGCTGGCTCATGGCCAACCTGTCACCCATCAGGATCCCCAGGTCCTTCTCCACAGAGCTCCTCTCCAGCAGGTCATCCCCCAGCCTATACTGATAACATTCAGTTGTTCCTTCCCAGGTGCAGGACTCTATACTTGGTCTTGTTAAACCTTACTTGGTTTCTCCCTGCTCATCTCTCCAGCCTGTCCAGGTCTCACTGAATGGCAGCACAACATTCTGGTGTGTCAGCCACTCCTCCCAGCCTTGTATCATCGCTGTACTTTTTGAGGGTGGACACTATTCCTTAGTCAAGGTCATCGAAGAAGGTGTTGAACAAGACTGGACCTGGCCCTGACCGGTGGGGAACACCGTTAGTCGCAGGTCTCCAGCCAGACTCTGTGCTGTTGATCACCACCTTCTGAGCTCAGCCAGTCAGCCACTTCTCAACCCACCTTACTGTCCACTCCTCTGTCCCACACTTTCTCAGTTTTTTTACCAAGATATTGTGGGAGACAGTACCAGAAGCCTTGCTGTGTTGCGAAACCATTTGTTGTCGACGGAAGGAAGACACAGACGCTCAATATGAGTGATCAGTGAACTTCGATTTATTGGATAGCTCAGTCGTCTTTTATCTAATTCAATATAATTAGCTCATACATATTGCAAAAGCTAAGCTCATGATTGGTTAGTGCATTTCTCTATTCTATCAGCTAGTTTCCCACCAAAATAACACAGTTAGTACTTTCCCAGCATACCAACAGATATCACGTTCTTGTACCTGAAACCTCCCTAAAACCTCCCTAAAACCTCCCAGAACTTACATTCCTTCCCAGGCTGCATTTACGTATTTTCTCAGGCTCATTTGAGCTGTGTTCGATACTTTGTTAACTTGCGGCCTCCCAGCTGCTCAACATCCACATGACCTACTTCACTTACCCATTCCTCCACAATTCCCCCGTTTTTATTTTGGGCTACAAACACCTTCTTTGTGAGTTGTTCTAGTTTCCTAGATAAGCAGCTAAAGACTACCTGCGCAGCAATTATAATCAATACAATTATAAGCAAAAGGCGAAGTCCCTCTTTGATTAAGTTAAAAACCCATCCCCCTACATTTCCAAAGACAGATTTAAGCCAATCATCAAACCAATTATTCTGTATCGTAATTTTTTGTGTATGATCCATTAACCATTTTAATTGATTGTGAATTGATTGCCCATGATCAGAGAGATTAAAGCAACACATTCCTTCTACATCTTCACACCCATGTCCTTGAGCTAGTAGCAAGAAATCAATTGCAGCTCTATTTTGTAACACAGCATGTCTTATGCTCCCCATATCTTGCGACATTTCAGAAAGAACTTGTGTTGTTACATTTGATTGTTTAACAGCCCAACAAGCAAGCCTATTAATGTTAGTCAAAGCGTGTGCAGTTCCCACACCAGGCACTAAAGAAGCAAAGAATCTTTTTGCTGGACCCCACAATTCTACATTATCATTGCAGTCAGAACCCAAAGTTTTTAATTCTCGTTTAATTCTTCTGCTCCGTCGAGTTCTGCCACGAGTGCAAATTTGGAACGAAAAGTGTGAGTCGTCCTAGGTAACACGGTCCCCCAAAAGCATTAGCTGGTATTCCTTGCCATGCACGGTCCCCACAGATTAAAAACATGCCAGGTGGCAAAGCTTTGGCCTGACTTTGAAACCAGATCGAATTGGTGTCACCTATTTCATACGCCCCAAATGGTACACTAATGTTCCCGGTGTTGTTCCATCCACAGTAATGTCCATTGGCCTCAAATCCAGGGGTCCTCGATGTTATGTTGGTCCAGTGCGCTTTATTTTGTTTCCCTTCATGGAGTACAAAGCATGTTTGTGTCCAGTTACTACTGCTATTCCCCACTACCACAGACCCCAGGAGATCCAGTTCTTGAGGGTCCCATGGTAATGAGTTATTAAGAGCTTGCAAGGCAGCAACTACTCCATCCGAGACATTAGCAGAAAAGGATCTAGTGAGTAAAGTAACACTGGCAGAATATGGTGCTAACATTTCACTCAGTTCCTTTGGATCCCCTATTGGGACCCCAAATAAGCACGTTCTAAAAGGATCAGATGCAGAAGCAAGAGACAGACAAAATGAACTCTGTCTGGTTTCATTAGCCCAGGTGACCCACATATTCTGCTGAGGGTCAATCTTCCCTAAGATAGCATTACCATGTCCAGCCATTATTATAACTGATAGCATAATCAAAGTCCCTTGTTCTGTTACTTCAGCCATGATCGTTGTCATCCTCTTCTTTCTTGATGGCTGGCTTTACACACCGACTAGGCACCCAGGTTGGACCTGTAGGGGAAGAAACACATACATAACCTCGTCCCACATAAATCACATCAGCAGGCCCTAACCATTGCCCTGTTTTCATATCTCTGTACAATACTCTCATAGCATATTTATTATCATTTTCAGATTTGGTATAATGTCGTGCTGCAGGTGGTTCGTCATGTTCCCCAAAAACACACAAATGATTTAGAACAAATAGAGTCTTGTCTACCCTTTCTCTAACATCAATAATGTCTTTAAACTTTTCTAAATATTGTTTAACTGTTCCATTAGCCCTTTCCACAATAGCCTGACCAGTTGGTGAATGTGGAATACCAGTAATATGTTTAATGTCCCATAGTTCCATGAATCGCTTGAATGTCCCACTAACATAGGCTGGACCATTATCAGTCTTTATAGTCTGTGGTACTCCCATTACTGCAAAACAACTGGCAAGATGACGTCGTACATCCCGAACTTTTTCCCCAGGCTGCGGTGTAGCCCAGATCATGTGACTATAAGTGTCTATTGTTACATGCAGATATTTCAATCGTCCAAATGCTGGAACATGAGTGACATCCATTTGCCACACTTCATTGGCTTTAAGCCCTCTTGGGTTTGTCCCGACTCCGAGACCCACCCCTGAGTTATAATTGCTACATATTGGACAAGCTTTTACTATCGCTTGTGCATCAGCTCTAGATAGTTTGTAAGCCCGCGCAAGTCCCTTAGCATTCTGGTGAAAAATAGCATGAGCCTCCCTAGCTCTACAGAAGGGAGATAATGGCGCTTCAGTGGCTGGAGCGGCAACTAATTTATCCGCCCGAGCATTGCCTTCTCCCAGTCCCTCCATCCATTGATGACTTCGTATATGTATCACCGCATAGGATTTGCTTCTCTGCGCTATAGCAAGCTGTAAGCTAGTTAATAGTTCTGCAAGGCGTTCATTTTTTACATCTCTTAAAGCAGAGTCCTCTATACGATTAGCTATACCTACTACATACAGAGAATCAGATACTACATTTAAAGGGGCATCTTTCCATTTTATAAATGTCCACACAACCGCATAGAGCTCTAATGTCTGTAATGAATCGTTGTCCTGGCCCTTTAAAATTTGGTGTTGCCAGCCTTGTTCGTCTTTCCATGTTATTGCAGCAGACTTGGAGCGCTTCCCAGCGTCCGTGAAAACAGTTACTGCATCTGCTAACGGAGAATCCGACCGCTTGGGCTGGGTTATCCATGCTTGGTTTTCCATCCATGACAATATAGTTGATTGTAATGTCTTTGCCACTATTGTGGCACCATCCTGTAATAATGCAGCTTGTAGTTTTTCAGAATTCTGTATGTACCATTCCAAGTCACCTGGCTTTATTGGTAGCCAGATTGTACTTGGTGGAACTCCGTCTATTTGTAGTATCCGATTTCTTCCTTTCTTTATTAATTCTGACAGCGTGTCAATTTTTTCTTGAATTGTTCTTCGGGGTTGCAATGGGGGAGCTGTCCACTCCAATACCACGGTTTCCATTTCCTTTTCCCCCGTTTTTATTTTTTGCTGTGTGATAGCACCCATCAAGTATTGTGGACCACACAAAACAGTAAAATCCAGTGGCCTGTCAGGTATGCGTCGATGTGTGACACGCGTTGTGATCAATGATGCAATTTGTTGTAATATTTC